TAATAATACAAGACTACAAAAGGTAATTAAGAAATCTCACTTGATTCTCCTTGGTTCTCCATTTGATTAATTCCGTATCAATGATGAGCTGCTTGCCCTCTGGTGCCCACTCGGTATAGTTACCCACATTATTTACAAATATGGACCCATTATGTACTTTTAATCTGTTTATTACTGAATAATAAAAAGGGAATTCTCCATATTCATTGAAGAAATTAACAGTTTTGAGTGTATGTATTCAGCAGTCTCTGTGTGTGTGTATTCAGCAGCTGTTGTGTTCATGTATTCAGCAGTCTGTCTATCTGTGTGTATTCAGCAACCTGTGTGTATTCAGTAGTCCGTGTGTGCTGGTATTCATCAGTCTATGCATGTATAAAGTAAACTGAGGGGTGTAGATACACTAAGAGGAATAAGACATTCAAAAGATGGGATAAGAAACACAAAATGAGGGTTAAGAGAGATACAGGTTGTGACAAACTGCTTTTTGTCACTGGCTTTTTATGTGACCAACTGCCCTTTGCCCCTGGCTTTTGGAGGAGCCTGATTGCCAGCCTCTTGCCTTATGACTATGCCCTTGGGGTGTATGGCCCTTTAAAAACATTATTTGGGCATATTGGATTATAACACACTTTTTCTGCCCCTTTAATTCCATGACAAAATGTGCCTCTTCCCCTCCCCCTTTTTCCTGTCTATTGTTTCTCCAGCAGGACGTTGTCCCATGGACACTGCCAGACCAGTTTAAACTGGCTGCTTTATCCCTCCTCAGTCTCTCATCAGCCCTTGCTAAACTTTAACCTCGTTGCGATTTTATTCTGTTCGTGGGATCTGAGCGCTGTTCGGATATATTGAGCATTCAGATCCAAGCTATCTGGGGATAGGTTGAATGTGAGGGTTCTGTTCAGTATAATAGGAATCATGCATTTTTATGTATTTTTACTGTTGATGTAAATGGAGATATTCCCTGTACCTGGAGATAATTAAGTTACCACACCCACTTAAGCCAATTATCTCCAGGATAGAGGAGAAGATTGACAGGCTGCACAGCCTAAATATGTGGAACTGTTTTGGGCAGGAAAGCCATGCTTGCAGTCGGTCAAATAGGACTTCCACCTAACTTCTGAACCACTGGACCAATTTGTTTGAGTTTGACATATGTTTGTATACTGCTTATGCTGTTTCAAAATATGTAAATTGCATGTATGTTTGGAAGTTATGAATATTGTATAAAACTGTATATTTTCCTGCCTGTGATAATTGAGTTAACCCATTGTGTTCAGTAATTATATCACATGCAGAGGGGAGGGTTTGCGTGCTTTGGCTGGGAGTGTCTGACTATAATGTTCTGTTTTGATTGGCTATTGTAACTGCATGTCCTGTGTACCACAAGGTCCACGTGGGTGGTAACCTTGTGGAAAAACCTGCATAAAAGAAAGCCCTGTGTGCTCATTAAACAGATCATCTTGTACCTTCATGAATTTTCGGCTCACGTTTGGGGGATTGGAGAACTACACTCTGGGGATTGCTATAATCACTATACTCCCCAGGGTATAATCACTAAGCTCTGCCAAGAGCTTGTTCCTGTTCCTGCTCTCTGGAATTCGGAGAGTTCGACCTACTGGAAGCTGAACCATGGTCTTGGGTCCAGGGTTGGTGGAGACGGCAAGACCACAACCAAGCTGCAGCGGTTCATGGGGTCTGCAGTGGTTATGGTGTCAGGTGGAGTGCTTAGAGCCCTCAGAAAGCACTAGGAGCATCCGTCAGCGGAAGGTACCCGGTCGGGGTGCCAGGCGTTCCGTTACACAAGTGAAAATGTATGTTTTTCTAACTGACTCTCTGAATGGATGCTGAGACGGCCTCTGTTAGAGGGCCACCCTCCATGCCCTTTATTATTATTATTATTATTATTACTGGCATTTATATGGTGCAGGAAGTGTTTTGGGTGCAATCTGGAACTGTGGGCACATTCTAGTGCTGTAGCTAGTGCTATCAGTGTCTCCAAGTACTGTGGCAACTGCTATGCACGCTACCTAGTGCCGTGGCAGTAGCTTTGTGTGCAGTCATTTTTATTTTTATAATTCAGTTACAGTGCCTTGATCATGGGTGTATGACTAATGGGGTGCATTGAATTTTGTTAACATTAAAACAGATTAGAAATTGCAACATCAAATCAGACAATGGCAACTTGATTCTTTTATTAAGCTTTTGCACCAGGTTTCTTAAACTTTTGCATTCCTGCCCTTTATGTGATAATGACTATGCCGCTGCCCTTCATGACACTGTCAAAAGGGGGCAGAGCATGGATGTCATTATAATTATGACCCCTTGGAAAAATTCCTGTGGTCGATAGTCTCCTGTCTCTTTCTGGAGCAGGAAGATATTGCTGAAAAACCCAGGTCCATCCAGAGCGAATTGGATAGCGCCCTTGTTGAAGAGAAAACAAATGTCCTCGTCCATAAGGCGACTGTGCTTTTTCAACACGTGTAGCGGTGGAGGTCAGGAAACCTGAGTGGGCCATGTATGGAAGTCAATGGCATATCCCCGAATGCACTCCAAAACCTATGTGTCCGTGGTGATGGCTTCCCAGTTCTGAAAAAAGAAGGACAACCTTCCTGCAGTAACATTTGTAATAGGAGCAGACAATGCAAGGTTCACATGTCGAGAAGCGACCATGACCTCGTCCTCTAGCGCCTTTTGCTCTGTCCGAGCCTCTGTTGTATGAGGGTCTTGATGAGGAGGTTGGGAAGAATGAGGAAGATTGCAGATAGGACCTGTGGCCCATAGACCAGAAGCGGCTGGTGGCACGGCCCTGCTGCTGATCAGACGTCCCAAAAAACACTTGTGGGTAGGAGGCGGAATATTTGCTTGAGTGAAGTTTGTACCTTGTTCAGGGTGGTAAATAAACCCACATGCTTCTTCAACTCCGCTATAAAGGGTTCTCCCAAGAGAAGTCATACTCCATACTCCAAGGAATCCATGTATAAAGTGGAATTGTGAGGCACATATATGGTCCTTTGTTAAACTCATTTGCATACACCTAACCAGAATCCCTTGCAGTAGTGAGAGCACTGTTAACCCCTTAGTGACCAGACCACTTTTCAAATTTCTTACCATTTGGGACCAGGGCTGTTTTTCATTTCTGCTGTGTTTGTGTTTAGCTGTAAGTTCCCTCTTACTCAAGTTTCCCATATAATTTACTATAAAAATAATATAAAATATGATGAAACTTTTTCAAACTTTGACCCCCAAAATCTGTTACGCATCTACAATCGACAAAAAAACACCCATGCTAAATAGTTTCTAAATTTTGTCCTGAGTTTAGAAATACCCAATGTTAACATGTGCTTAGCTTCTTTAGGAAAGTTATAGGGCTATAAGTACAAGTAGCATTTGCTATTTCCAAACCATTTTTTTTCTTCAAAATTAACACAAATAACATTGTGACACTAATACCTGTCAGGAATCCCTGAATAACCCTTCATGTGTATATATTTTTTAAAAGAAGACAACCTAAGGTATTAAACTTGGGGTATATTGACTCTTTTAATGCAACCAGTTTACCACCATTCTATGCCACACATTTACACACATAGCAATGTAAGAATACATGTAATGCAAACTTTAAGGGTTACTGCAAAAGTACACCCCAATATGTGTTCAGTAACATCTCCTGAGTACAGTGATACCACCCATGTATAGGTGTGATGGGTTCTTTGGGGGCTAAAATTTGGAGGGTGCGCATTCTAGTTTTCCAACTTGGAATTTTCACAGCTGGTCATCATGCACCCATGTCCTATTTGGGACATTTTTGAAGCCGGCCAATGTAATCTACCCCATCAAACCATATATTTTTGAAAAGTATACAACTCAGGCTATTCAATATGGGGTATGTCCAGTCTTTTTTGTAGTCACAAACACTGGCCAAAGTTAGCATTTATATTTGTTTGTGTGTTAAAAATGCAAAAAATAACTATGAATGATAACTTTGGCCAGTGTCTGTGACTAAGTGGCTACTAAAAAAGACTGAACATACCACATTTGCAACACCTTGGGTTGTCTTCTTTTGCAAATGGTATGCCATTGTGGGGTTAACTCTCATTCCTGGGCTTTCATACGCTCTCAAAGGCAACATATTACAACAATGATATCATCAGTGAAAATGCTGTTTGTGTGTGAAAAATGAAAAAAATGTCACTTTCACTAACAATATCATTGCTGTGATATATTTTACTGTTTTGAAACACTAATATTTGTATTCAGCGAAGTCTACCGAGTAAAACAGTACCCCCATGTACAGGTTCTAGGGTGTCTTGGAAAGTTACAGGGTTAAACATAGTGCTAGCAAATTAAATTCTCTGGACTTTTGGCCTGGGTTGTCAGGCAGGTCCCCCAAATTGAGATTACTTAATTATGTAAACATTTTACAGAAATATGCACATAGAATTTATATATATATATATATATATATATATATATATATATATATAAGTCTACATGTATATTTATGAAGTTATTTATGTAATTCTGAATATGGACATATGTATATTTCGTATTATATATATATATATATATATATATAATTTCATTCTAAGTGTATTTTGATCTATCTATCTATCTATCTATCTATCTACCTATCTATCTATATACACACACACATATATATATATATATATATATATATATATATTCATGAGTAATTTTACTCTGTGTATTTTTATATTAATATATGTATATATTATTAAAAAAAATACACTTAGTATAATGTTATATATCATATATATATATATATATATATATATATATATATATATATATTTATATATAGACACATAGACACAGAACAGATAGCTTGGCACTCACCCTATCTCCAATTCAAAATAAGTTTCTTAATGCCTTGGTGCAATCCCACATTATGGAGTATATAAACAAAAATAAAAATAAGAGATGCACTCTCAGGGCTTTTATAATCAATCTATAGGTGTTTATTAAAACGAAGGTTTACATCATATGATCAACGTTTCGACCCCTCAGGGTCTTCCTCAAGATCCAGGAAGACCCTGAGGGGTCGAAATGTCGATCAGATGATGTAAACCTTAGTTTTAATAAACACCAATAGAATGATTATAAAAGCCCTGAGAGTGCATCTCTTATTTTTATTTTTGTTTATATATATATATATATACATATATATATATTACATTTATTTATTAACGTTATTTTTTATTTTACAACTTTTGTTTAACTTTTTTCACCAGCAGGGGGACTGCTTGTCAGTTCAAGCAGTCCCCCTGCTGGCAACACAATGGACACCTATATGCAATGGCCCTTGGGGTCCTTTTTTGAAAGGGGGAGTGTCTGGGCTGTCAGATAGCCTCCCCAGTGGAGCAAAACTCTGATTGCCGGCGGGGGAACAGCGGCGTTCAGGTAAGTATATGGGAATAGTGGGAGGGAGGGAAGGGGTTAATTTAAATGATTATATATATATATTTTTAACTATTTTAATATTACTGGGTGCCTTGACCCCTCGAGGCACTCAGCACAGGCAGAGCATCGGAAGACTGCCTGATGGCTTCCGATGCTCAGCACTACACTGCCGGGCGCCACATGGGTAAACCCGGAAGTGATCGCTCCAGGGGGAGTGATCACACAGCATCCTGGCAGTTAGGGGGTATTGCAGGATGCCTTGACATCGAGGCATTAATGCAATACCCTTAGAGCAATTCCAGCTTTCAGCGCTCTTATTCGCCACGGACATACAGGGTACATCAGCGGTTGTTAACAACCGGTTTCTGTCTGACGTACTCTGTACGTTCGCGGTCATTAGGGGTGAAAGTGAGATTTCTGTGGTAAAATCAAGTCTCATGGCTTGCCTGGTGTGTGTATTTGTGTTTAACATTGCATTAACTACCCAAATATATATATGAATGCATATATGTATCCGGTTGTGCACGTAATTTCCATAACAAAAAGGTGTTGGAGGGTACACAGTGAGGTGCACAAAAAAATTCCACAGAGAAACCAGACCAAAAAAGATATACTTTCATATTCATAGCCATTCCTTGTTCAAAAGATCTATTCTGTTTTCACGCTTAGCTGTAAATCTGATACGTGATAACAGCTCACCTTTATATGGTAAAATATTCAGCAAACTCAGATTGAGTAGCTGTTGTTGGATATAACTTTTCAAATTATAGTCAATGGGCCAAAAGGTATCACCTCACACTGTGATATACCAAATATCAAATCGTTCTACTTACTATAGTGACTTTGTCAATAAATACCATGAAACATTAATCCCTTTGTGTCACATATCTCCTTTCTCTCATTATCCTTAATGTAAAGCATTTAAATTAGTGTGTTAATTGTGGTGACTGTGTGAAGTGGATCCTGAAATAAACATCCAATTCTGGACAACATGAAACAAGAGAAATATTTGTCAACATAGATCATGGAAGTCAATTTGCATCTGATGATCATTCTTGTGTACCTTACATAGTCCCCTCTGTACCCCATATTTTTAAAGTGTTTCACAGATGGTAAGAGGACATAATATTTACCTGATGTCTATAGGTGTAATGTTTTTTACTTTTTCCTTCAAATTCCTTTTTTTTCATTTCAAGGAAACTATCCAGGGCTTTTGCAATAGCAATCACTGAATAAAACACCCGCGGAGAAATTCCAGTTGTTAAATGATTTTTAGCATGAAAGGTATGGTTTTGGCTAGAACAGTTATAATAAGTTATAAATGGATAAATATGTATATAAAAAGCATTCTTTTCTGCATTCGTGGATAAGCAAGAATAATATATTATCCATATATTTTCAAGAAGCTTATCTTCTGTACGTTTTGAAGGATGGATATTATCAAAGAAACTCCCAGTCTCTGGCATAAACAAATGAAATGGTTCAACAGCTAAGCTTCCACTTAATATTTCAAAGTTGCATTGTATGAGCAGAAAATTTGAAGCCCAGGATGGAGGAAAGATGAAAGCATAATCCTGGTGGAGCATGGTGTTCAGATATTGCATTACAAAAACAACTGTAGCACTAAGTGAGCCACACAGTACAATAATTTTACTTTTTGTTGTTATAATACAATTATTTATCCTAGAAGAAATTTCAATTTTTGAATCTGAGGGATTAATAAACTGCATAAAAGCAGTGCAAATACCGTTACTGGCCATGTATTTTGTTAAAACCTGACTCTCTATCCCTCCAGTATCATCATTTGTAGTCACAATTCCCACCCATGTCCAGCCAAAATGTTTCAGAAGTTGGGTCACAATCTTAAAATAGATGTAATCATTTTGAACCATTCGAAAAAAATGTGGATACACAAGTCTTTCACTCAAAGAGTAGTCTGTAGCCCCATAACTTATCTACAAAAAGAGAAAGCAGACCATAGTGAAATTTTCATTGCAAGAGAGGATAGTTACATTTCAAATCATCAATTTCAAGAGCATTTTAGAGGGGAATAATAAAGGGTCACTGTAAGAACCAAAACCATTGGAACTTAATGTAGTAGTTTTGCTGTGTAGATGCTGTAAAAATTTTTGACAATGTAAAACATTGCAATTTGAAATAAATGTCAAATTGTTTGTTTTCATATCACAAAATGTTTACATTTTTTAAATGAAATAAACTGGAAACCAGAACCCAAGATTTAGGATTACACTTCAAAATTCCCTAATCTATGCAATTAATATCAGATCATCAGTTGACTCACATAATGTATAACCAAACAAGGAACAAATATAAAGTAGTGCAAGCAGATGGTGCCAAGGATAAATCGCATAAAACATTTCATGCTCCCAGGGCACTTAGTCATAAGTCACCATTATAAGTCTTTAAGGGTTACTCAAACCACCTTGACCACTTCTGCTTTTAGAAGTAGTCATGGTTGTAGGAATCTTTATGTGCAGCGTTTAAGATATGTGCACTGTTGTGTCATGGGCTCAGAGGTGGCTCTCTAATTAGGTGATTTAGGTGGCCACCTAAGGCTTCGCGCTGACTGGGACCTCGCGGCCGTCTCAGTTACCTTAGGGCAGATGTGACTTGTTGGGTCCTCGATCCATGACTGAGAGCCCAACATCAGGAGGGGGCCCGGCAGCTTGCCCTGTGTGTCACCGGGTGAGAGGCCCATCCAGTCTGCCCTGGAGGAGAGCCTCCAGTTTTCAGATCTGCCGGGTACAGAGCTGAAGACTGTGAATTGTCTCCTGATCTCAGTCAATCAGAGTGTTGCCGTGAGTTAGCATCTGAACCACCAGAGGAAAAAAGATAGTTCTAACACCCCTCTCTCACTCTGTCAACTGTCACCCCTCCCTCACTCTGCCACCTGTCACACCCTTACTGTGCATTCTGTCACACCCTCACTCTGTCACCTCGTCCCTCCTTTACTCTGTCACCCCCTCACTCTGCCACCTGTCACCTCCTCTCTCCCTTACTCTGCCATCTGTCGTCCCCTCACTCTGTCCCCACTACACTCTGCCATCTCCACCCTCTGTCACCCCACACTCTGCCGTCTGTCACCCCTCACTTTGCCACCTGCCACCCTATCACTCTGTTACTCCCTCCTTCACTCTGTCACTGCTTCTCTGCCACCTGTCACCCCCTTCCTTCCTTTCTCTGTCACCTCCTCACTCTGCCAGCTGTCACCCCCCCACACTCTGCCATCTGTCACCCCCTCACTCTGCCACCTGTCACCTCCTCCATCACTCTGCCACCTCTCACCCCCTCCCTCCCTCTATCACCCCCTCCCTCACTTTGTCATTCCCTCATTTGGAGTCCTATGACATAAACATAACTCATAACTAAACATCCTATGACATAAACATAACTCACCAGTATTATGTTTAGCTAAGCTAAATGGATTGTTTTTAATGAATAGACATCATGTATTTGCATTAAATATCCATTGATCTGTACAAAGGAGTACCTTTCCTCACCTGTGAATATCCATACACCCCTAATATCTGTGCTATGGGCATCGTTGTAAATGAATAGTGATCACCAATAAAGCCAGTCAGCTTGTTATTGTCCACACAGGAATAATTAGGGACAGTTTTCTCTGGTCCGGATAGAATCTGTAGAACACTTTTCACAGCTTTCCTTGTGTCAAGACAAGAATCATAGAAATGATATCCCAGTGTGATATTTGCCAAAATGTTTGGATTCATGTTTACATGCTCAATGGCAAAAAGAAAAACTAATAGATTGATGTAATCACGAGGGTCGGGACTGTGAAGAAGCAGATAATAAGGCTATAGCAAAGAGACTCAAGTATTATTTTTTAAACATAATTTATGCATTTCAGTCTATAAAAAAATATGAGAAAGGATGACAAGTCTTTTATATAAGTACAGAGGTCCAGATCCCATGTTATCAATTTCCTCAACAAGTACTTAAAACATTTTGATTTAATGTTTAGATTTTACAAAAAAATGTTTGCTAAATTAGTAACTCAGTTAGGCAGGGCCGGTGCAAAGAATTTTGGGTACATAGGCGAAGATGCATTTTTCCGCCCCCCCAAAAACATCTTCACCCATGTGCCTCTTAACCTCCCTTTTGTGTTTCTTATCCCGTCTTTTAAATATCTGACTCCCTTTGCCTTTGTGTGTCTCCTATCTCTCCTCTTTGTATGACTCTTACATCCTCCCACATTTTGTGTCTTACTCCTCCCAGCCCCTTTGTGTGACTCCTTTTCTCCCAGCCCCTTTGTGTCTCTTTCCTTCTCAAGCCCCGGTGTGTGTTTCTTTCACATCCAGCCCCTCTCCCTGTCCCTTAATGGTCCCCTCCCTTCTCTGACCCTTACTGTACCTCTCCCCTCTCTCCTCCTTTTCCTGTTCCTCAGTGTTCCTTTCCCTTCCCCCCTCCTTTCCCTGTCCCTTAGTGTTCCTCTCCCCTCCCCCTCTGTTCCCTGTCGCTTAGTGTTCCTCTCCCCCTCCCTCCTTTTCCTGTACCTTAGGGTATCTCTCCTTAGGGTATCTCTCACAGACACTGTCCCTTGGTGCGCCACCCACCCCCATAGTGGTCCCCTCCCCTTCCTGGTGTGCCTCCTACCTTTCTTGTAGCGTGGCTGAGCAGAGCGAAGTT